GGCAGGAGCGTTGTCTGCGGTAGCCATGGGGGTGGGTGCGCGCGCAATAAGCGTGGAAGTCGCGTGCAATGGTGTTTTTCCGAGGCCTGCTCACCAGCATAGTGCGACGGCCGAGGCTGCAGTGTCGTGAAAGTTGACGACAATTGCGGTGATTCCCTGCCCTCGCCTGAGTGACAACAGAGCGCGCGTTGTTTGCGCTAGTACGATTTCGTCAGCTTGGGCTACCGTGCGGCCGGTCCCTGCCCAGGTTCTTAGGGCCAACCGGATCCCCTGCCGGGCTGAAGTGACGATACCTTTACAACTTCACCCGTCTGATGCATGTGATAAACACGTAAAGCATCAAAACTCAAGTGACACTACTAACATGTGGTAGGAAAAAATTCAGAGTGCTGTCTCGTCTGAGACTAAGGAATAACGAGGCTCAAGAACACACGACACCGCGAAGGACAACTATCATCCATGATCATTCAGGTCTAAATTGACATTGCTAATTTCATATATACTAGAATCGAACTTCATCGACGACACTCCCGCTAAGCAAGATCCAAAGTGATAGAGTTAGGATCGGGCTTGCTTCCCTTCTTCGACACACCACCCTGCGCAAACGCCACCGTCTCCGCCGCATCATCAGCAGCAAAGAAGGCGGCAGTAGCAAATGGCGCACCAAACAGACAATCACCAGTGGAGAACGCAAGCGAGCAGATACCTGTAGACGGGTTGACACCCGAGCGAGCATAAGTGCGCAGCGGAATCTTGACGGTGACCTTCTTGCCCTCGACACCAGTGAACTCTAGATCAATAGTAGTGTCTTTGGGGATAGATTCGCATGTACCGTTCCAGCCAATGACACCATACTCGTCGACAACGAGACCAGCGGCAGCAGCGAACTGGTCATTTTGACTGTAGCTGACGGGTAGGTAATCGAGTGTGGTGCCGGAGTCGACGAGGCAGGTGTGAGAGATGATGTCTGAGTTCTCGAAAGCTGTTCCGTTGACTGAGACGACAGGCGGGTTGACGTAGTAGCCAAGTGTCACACCACCGAACGGAGCCTCAACCATGGGGACCTTGACGAGGTCGCCCGTGTATTTGGAGTGGTCGACGCCGCCGAAGACGACATGGCCGGTGAACGTATCTTCGATTCCTTCAGGCGCCTCGTCGAACCACAGACTCTGTACGGGCGCGGAGATGGCGCCAGCCTCGAGTAGGTTTTGGCGCACGTGCGGGCCGGTCGTGTTCCAGGTCGGCTTGCGGTAGTATGGGGAGATACCCAAGATGCCGTCGTCAAACGAAGACGTCGGAGTACACTTTCCGCTGCTGTCGCCGAGGCGCGATGTCATGTAGCTTGAAATCGCGACTTCCGTGTCCACGGTCGACGAAAGGCCCGCATCGGAAACGAATTGAAAGGTATCGTTCACCGCCACATCTCCAGTGATGAACTTGCTGTTTCCTCCATACGAGTAGGAGGATCGGAAGGGTACTGGTTTAGACGCGGACGGGCTGTTTGGGTAGTCGTAAAAAGGCTGCACCGTCTCGTTGCAAGGGCCTGCACAGCCGAGACGAGTGCATCCCCAGTTCCTGATGCTGTCGGGGCCGAACACCCAGAAGTTCTCGGAACCTTGGTCGACGACGATTTCGATGGTGCGGTTGGTCGAGGGATCGACGAGCTCCGTTGAGATCTTCTGGGCGCCGCCGTGCGCGAAGTTCAGTGGTATGTTGACCGTAGACACAGCACCCAGGACACTGCTGGCGAGCGCGGAGATGGTGAGGGCGTATCGAACCATTTTGACGAGCAGAGAGAAGAAGAGCGTCGGTGAGGTCGGTGACGATTGATCTGACTTTAGAGATAGCGAAGAGGTCTTAAGTCAAGCTTGATGCCAGACTAATTTGGCCGTATCCGTCGCTTCATGCCGACTGATCCCGCCAAATACGACGGCTAGCCGCAAAAAAATCTTATCGCTTCATGCCTTCGAGTGTCCCATACAGGGAGCGGAGTGGATTGCCTTGCGGTGAGATCCAGGAAAGGGGCGCACCGACAGTTTTCGGTCCGCGCTGCTTGCTGTCAGCGATTCGCATGACTTGGATACGATGCTACAAGGGCCATCCTGCCCTCTTGTCCAAGCGCAGAAGCACAAAGAAGGTCGTGAACGACAGTAAAGCTGGTGCAAAAGTGCTAATATTGGAACATGCGCGATGTTACCTAGGTAGTTTACTCGTCCAGTGGAGTCGCGGCAGCTACCCCGGCGTGCAGGTACGGGAATTTGCTAGTGTCAAACAGCGACCCACATTCGCGTTCGCTCTACCTAGGTACGAAGTACGCTACACCTGGGCAGGTACACAGCCAACCTTTCTCTAACCTTCTACATTGTTTTCCTCGCTCCTTGGACCTCGTCGGTGTACATTCTATCGTGTTTGCAGATCTAGCTGTCTAAAAATACGACCAGAGCTAGGCAAATACCTCTACATCCCATCTGGCACCCGCAATACCAGCGAGACTGACCGGGTGCTCGCAACCTCGAAATACGAGTATTATCCGCACCCATGTCGCAGCAATACCGCCCGCTCTTGGTCATTCGCGATGCTTGTTGTCAATGCTTAACATTATCCCTGCTGGGGTCGTAGAAAATTGCGATACGTCACACTAGGAAGGTCCTCAGATAGCACCGTATTGGAGGTGTTGACGGTCGAGGGTCGACGCTCGCCATGATTCATTGCATCATGCTGTCTTTGCAATTTTCATCTCCTCTCGCGCGCTCATAAGTCTGCGATGCTCTGCTGAATTGCTCTCGTATATACCCGAAACATCGACTCTTCTTCTTTCATTTCAATTCATCGTCGGCTGCATCATGAGATTGGGCTCAACTCTTGTCTCGAGCGCGACCTTTCTGGGCGCCTTTGCTCGATCGGCGGCAAAAGACAATGCTGCACATGAGAGTGTTGTAGAGCTTCCAGACGGTTGGAAGTCTGTCGGTGGAGCCGATGGTTCTCTACCCCTAACGCTGTCAGTCGCTCTAAAGCAGCCTCGCATGTCGGAGCTGGAAGCACATCTCCAAAAACTAAGCGATCCATCACACGCAAAGTATGGGGCACATTTATCTCAGGACGAAATAAGCAACTTTCAGCAGCCAGATCAAGACGGTCTTGTCGCTGTGCGTTCATGGCTCAATGCTAACGGAGTACAATTCTCAGTTGAAGGGTCGTGGCTACGAATCAACACTACCGTTGATACAGCGAGCCAACTCATTGACGCTGATTTCGGTCGCTACCAATACAACGATGATAGTCCTGTTCTACGCGCGACAAAGTACAGCCTCCCCAGTGCGGTAGCAGACTACGTTGACTTTGTCTACCCCGTCACCCAATTCATCCGCAAGCCTTCCAAGAAAGCACTGCCATCATCAGAATTACATTCCGAGAAGAGACAGGATTCATGTACGTAACAGCTGCGCTACTCTCACCCAACAAACCGGGCAAATCCAGCTGACCATCCTCCTAGCATCGCAAACCTGCCCTGGTGGAGACACAACACCCGACTGCATCATGTCCATGTACAACATCAACTACCAGATCCCCGACTCCGACTCCCCCGTGACTTTGGGCATCGCGGGCTTCCTGGAAGAATACCCTAACGAGCCCCTTCTACACTCCTTCCTGGAAAACTTCAGCCCCTACCGCAACACCACCGGCTACAACTCTCTCTACAACTTCACCGTCGCCTCGATCCAGAACGGCAACGATACCAAGCTCGGCTATGGTGGGGAAGCCCAACTTGACATCCAATACAGCATGCCCTTCGTCCAGCCCATGAACGTAACCTATCTCTCCACGGGCGGCAGAGGCCCGTATCTCGACGAAAACGGCACCGAAGTACCCCTCGCCACCAGCCCTAACGAGCCCTGGATCGAGTTCCTGGAAGCACTGCTCGAACGCGAAGAACTACCTACTGTGCTCTCAATCTCCTACACCGACGACGAAGCATGGATTCCACGCGCCTACGCCAAGCGCGCATGCGACCTATTCATGCAGCTCGGAGCACGGGGTACATCCGTCCTCGTAGCCAGCGGCGACGGCGGCTCCGCCGGCACCGGATCTTCAGAGTGTAAGAACAACAAGTTCCGCCCTACGTTCCCCGTCGACTGTCCGTACGTCACGAGTGTCGGTGCAACGGCTGCCTACTCCCCGCTTAGCGCAGAGTGGTTCAGTGCAGGTGGTTTCAGCGAGTACTTTGACCGCCCTGCGTGGCAGGACGCGGACGCGAGAAAGTATATCGCGCGACTAAACGGGTCGCATGATGGATGGTATGCGCCTGGTGGACGCGGTATACCCGATCTCTCAGCTATCGGAACGCGGTTTGTGATGGATGAGAGTGGTATCAAGCAGAAAGGGACGAGTGCGAGTACGCCTGTGATTGCGGCTATGATTGCGCTTGCAAATGACAAGAGGATGCGGGCTGGGAAGCCAGCGCTGGGCTTCTTGAACCCCTTGCTTTACTCGGATGAGCTGCGGCACGTGTTTGTGGATGTGACCGAAGGTCAGTCGGGTAGTTGTATTGTTAACCGTACTGCGGAGCCCGGGTGGGAGACGACTGTGGGATGGGATGCGGCGACTGGGCTGGGCACACTAGATTTTGCTAAGTTTGTTAAGGCTGTTGCTTAGATATTAGACATAAACGCAACAATTACACAAGCCAACTAGTTCGAGATAACGACAGCGACAGTGTTGACTGGGACTTGGAACCGTGCTCTTATCGACTGATTGAGTACTATCCTCCCCATGCCGGACGGCACTGATGCTATGATGAACTCGTGCTAAACGCTAATAACAATCCTCATTGTGACGGCTTCTCGTCAAATCCAATCCGCTTCATATGTACGCTCAGTAGTATGTAGACCAATTCGTGGAGGTAGCGAAGATATCGATCGCTCTGACCGAGTATGCTTTTTAGTATAAGAACGCTGTGTGAGGAAATGCCGTGCTATTTCAAGCGGTTGTGCGCCCTTCTCTCAGGCCGTAGCCGCTTCCTTTGCACGCTTCTTCTCTTTCCTTGCTTTCTTTTCCTCTTTCCTCTTGATCTCCTCAGGATCCCGTTGCTTTTTGGTCTTCTTCGCCGGCACTTCAGGTGCATCAACACCATTGACATCGGCGTGTTTCCTCTTCGGCTTTTTGGAGGGTAAATTGAGTCCGTTCGGCATCGCAAGCCCAGCAATCGCTTGCGGTACCTCAGTCTCGTCATCGGAATCACCGATAGTCCCAGCGTCGTTACCGCTGAAGCCGGTGGGAAGGAAGCGCATCTTCAGTCCTGTGACTTGTGGTCGTGGTGCACGAATGGTCGATCGCGTTATGGAGGCGGCCGCTTCTGAGCCCGTGTTTTGGTCTGCTTGCTTTGTGGTAAGGTGGGGAAGTCGTACAACCGATCGTAGGCGTAAAGTCTGAGATATCCGCGTAGGGGCTAGGCAGGTCAGTATAGTCGGTAGAGGCAGTAGTTGATGAACGAACCTGATTTCATGCCATTGTTCCGTGGTAATAGAACCTCCCGGGTGCCCTCATCACTCTCCGTCTGAGAGAAACCGTAGTCTGTACCCTTGTAGCTCAGTACGGCATCCCCTTTCATAGCTTTATCCATGGCGAGCTCGCTCAAGTCCTTCAGCGAGACACCTGCGGGAGCAGTGATGTGCCATATCTGCTTTCCTTCTAGATTATCGAACAAGCCCGTCGACTTGGAGATAGTCCTGTCGTTGACTGGGACTGGAGCAAATCCTTTGGGGGGTGCGTAAGCCTGGGTCGGTCGGAAATCAACGGCATGCGATTGTGGTTGCACTGGCGGTGCCGGCTGTGTTTGGGTCGACTTGCGGGTCGGTTGCGGGGCGTTGCCTGTGTCCGAGTCGTCGCTAGAGCTGTCTCCGCTGCTGGTGTCGTCGCTGTCGCTCGAAGCTTTCTTGCTCTGCGTGTTACCTGGGAGCTTCGTCTGTATGTCTCTCGTCGGCGCGTCGTCGCCGCTTATCTCTGAGCTTGACAATTCTTCGGCGTCCTCCTGTGTCGCGATTTGCTTGGGCGCAGGCTTCTTAGGCGTAACCTTCGACTTGGAGGCTGATTTGGGGGCAGGTACGTCTTTCTTGCTAGGCTTGGACTTCGCTTTGGGTACGCCGTTCACGTGAATGCCAATGGTGGCTTTCGGCTTCTCGGGCTTCTTGGACTGCGCGGCGGTCTCACTGGGAGAATCATCGTCGCTGTCGACAAATTCCTGGCTTAATTGCGCTTTCGACGGGGTGTTCTGATGTTTTGACTTGGGCTTGGAGCCCGGGAGCGGCACCTTGGTTTTCTGTATGGCACTCATAGTGTGGGTGGAGCCATGCTCTTTGCGACTAGAAGTCGAGGTTCGTAAGGAACTTTTTTGCGCCGCGAACTGTCGCGCTCGGGCACTGGGCGGAGAAGAGCCGCATCGTGACTAGTCCCGATTAGGACTTGGCGCGCCAAAAATCATTGGTTTGATCTTTGAAATGATGGGCACATGCAGAACACCAATGTCAACATCCAAAGTCAGCATGTCAGGGAAACGGAAGAGAGGGGAAGATGCGGCTGCTGCTGGTGCCTCCAGCGGAAAGCCACTCACTGCGATTGCGGCTGCTCGACTAAAAGCGGAAGCTGCCGCCCAAGTTGTGAATACACCTCAAGTTGCGCTGGAGCAGATTCCTGTGCCAACGAGCCCGTTGCTTGATGCTTCCAAATCCGAGCACGAAGGTTCAGATGAAGAGACTCATGCGCCCGTACATCGGAATGTCAAGCTTTGCAACTGGCGCAACGAACCCCAAAACATCCTCTCAGATACCGACACCGAACTTACCATCAACCTGAACAAACACGCGACTATAACACTGATAGGCACTTTTGATTTGACAGTTCTACGAGGCGCTGTCAACATCAATGGTGCCAACATTGGAACAGTCAGTCGTGATGGGCAGAAAAACCAGGTTCATCGAGCGTGCGTGCCGGCCACGCACCCTATGTCTAAGATTCGCGGACTAGATGGTACGAATCACATCAGGTTCAAGACTTGCAAGATATCCGCCCCGCTCGCAAACGTCAGTCCACTCTTTGACGGTATTTGGAGCGATTCAACCGATCGTTCGTTCCGAGTTGTAAGTGCCACATCCTTATACACCTATCCAGCATTGATCGCGACGGTACATGCGTGAGAAAGGTTGAGATCTCGACACATAACGGCCATCTAACCTCTCTGTTAGGTAACCAACTCAGACGCGGATACACTTTCTCGGCCATTACGTCCTGAAGTGACACCCGAAGACTGGCTCCGCGCAATCGAGGACTGTGCTAGCAACCCATCTATCACCGTAGTGACTGGATCACCTAGCTCAGGCAAATCAACATTCGCTCGGCGGCTCGTAAATCGCTCCCTTACAGGTCTAGGCAAGACCGCCCCCTCTGTACCAGCTGTATGCTGGATGGATCTCGACCCGCAAAAACAAGAGCATGTCCCCGCAGGTCAAGTCTCTCTTGCCATAGTGAGAGATCTGAACCTGGGCCCAAGTTTCACACACCCCTCTGTTGTACCAGGACCAAAAGAAGCGATGAGGAATGAGCTTATCCGCGCACATCCAATTCCGGCGAATTTCGCCAACTACGCAGACTACTATCAGTCTTGCGTTGAGGATCTCTTCCTGGCATACAGAACCCTTTCCTCGCGAGATTCCTCTCTCCCGCTAGTCGTCGACATACCCGACTTCCTCTACTCTTCACATTTCGACCTCCTAACAAAGCTACTGGCGAGAATTAAACCACACAATGTCATACATCTCGGGGATACGCGGGCCATCGACACCGAAACAGCGGCAAAGCTGCATTTGCTTCAGACATCAACGTCGCAATTTCACGGCACATTCCATGAGATCACCGCGCAACAGGCCCAGACGATACCTGTAAGATCGGATAATGAGTTAAGAGCTATGCAGATGCAATCCTACTTCCACCTCAAATCAAGCAGTACAGGCCCAAATCAGGCCCAAGTACTCAGCTGGATGTCAGAGACGCTTTCAAGTCTAGTACCATGGGAATTCTGCTACGAAGAAACGCCCGAGCGAACACAGGATCTAGTGGCTTTCGCAATGTATTCTGAGCCAGTCGAGCCATCTTCAATGCTACATGCACTGAATGGATCTGTCGTTCATATCATCCAATCCACATCTGCTGCAGTCCCAGGCTCGCTTCCACGGACCCAGAAATTTGGTATTCCATATCTCCCCGAGTCCGCGCGCACAGGAATAGTAGAGCCGCTGGATCCTCGAACGACGAGACTGGTCTGCACGGCGATGATTCGGGGCTTCAATCCGGAGAAGAAGATTGTAGAAGTGCTGGTACCAAAGACGCACGAGTCGCTACTATACAACTTGTCACCAGAGAGGACTATCTTTGTAGGCGGATGCTGCGACGTGCCGGAATGGGCCTACTTAGAGGACGCGTATGCGCAGGAAGAAGCAAGGAAAGCGACGACAGGTGTTGGTAATCTACCCGTTTGGGTCGAGAAGGATGACCTTGTAGATGGTATGGGATACCTCAGCACTGTACGGAGGGTGAGGAAGTTCCAGACGTGACCTCACGTTGGAGACATTGTTCATTAGCGCCCCAAGACGAAATACAGTCACGGGGTTGGTGCTTCGAGACCTTCACAGCAGCCTCTCAATGAACGGAAAAAATGGAGGTTTTGACTTCTTGTTGCGAATTACTGTTAAGTCGCACTATAGCTGTAATATGTACACGTGATACCATGCTTGTTCCAATGTCCCCGACTACAAAATCATCTTCGGTGGAGCTGTGTGCCGTCAGCAGATGGAGTGGAAATGTTTGATGCTGAACTCACGATCGATGATTGGGCAAGGCAGGTTGCGCTCGTACTTTGATCCTACAACACCCGTCAGTACATTCATATCCGCGGCCGGTGCGGAAATGTATCCGGGCATTAGCAACGAACCTCCAGGAGCCGTAGGTGGGCGGTAAGGGTCTGGGTGCTTCCACTTCTCGAGCAGGTTTTCCGTCTCCTTGATCAGTTCCTATGCGACTCATCAGCAGAGTCCTCTGTATAGCCGTAATATATGTGGAGTGTCTATGTAATCGCGGTGGTGGAATAGGGAGACGCACCCTCATCTGTCGCGGCTCGGTAACATTGCGCTTGGCCTCGAAGAGTTCGCGGATGTACAGGGCCTGTCCGCGCCAGAGGTAGCGGTGGACGCTCCAGTCGAGGGCGAGCTTGAGGGACCGCCTGTAGAGGCGTCTGCGGCTGGGTTAGTTTCTGCGCGTAAAGGGCGACGCCTGCGGGGGTTTGGCGTACAGGACGTGTATCTTGGAGCTCATGACGGCGATGGCCCTTCCAGTGGGAGTTGTTGCGGAAGGGAGAAACGTGGGTCGTGGCCGCAATGCCTCGGTGTTGTCGCAGACGGCTTGGTGAGGGCAGCGTGAGGTTGCGGGCTTGGCATTTGTGCCTGTGACGGAGGGTGGCTTCCGAGACGTCAGAAGTGTGGTGCCGTGTCTGCTTCAGTACCATACAACTGCCGCAAGGGGACTCATACACAAACCTTCGTTCGCTCGAAGTCGCCCATCGCTCTCACTCGCATCTTAATTTCCTTTTTCCCAGTCTTCGCCTGGCCGCCCATCATGTCCAGCCAGCAGTGTCTCCGCCGTCTACCAGCGGCTATGCGCTCTGTGCGAGCTTTGCGCGCAAGCCCACGAGCCATCCCAGCCGCGCGCAGCTATTCCGCCATCTCCAAGGCGAACTCCTCTGGTCTCCTCGCCCAAGCTTCAAGGTACTGCGAATGTCTACATCGAATAAAAATGCCCAACACTAACTGTTCATAGACGGCCTGGACAGCTTTCTTCACAACGCCTATGGACCCTCGAGCAGACAAGAAGCTATGCCGACACCATCGTCAAGGTGCCCGAGATGGCTGAGTCGATCACAGAGGGAACCCTGAAGCAGTGGTCAAAACGTGCGTTCACCATCTCCAATTGGTTATGCCAGTAGCTTACAATATGCAGAGGTTGGCGACTACGTTGAGCAGGATGAAGAAATCGCGACTATCGAGACCGACAAGATCGACGTCGCCGTCAATGCGCCCGAGGCTGGTACTATCAAGGAATTCCTCGTCAACGAGGAGGACACCGTCACCGTCGGACAGGACATCGTAAAGCTTGAGGCCGGCGGTGCCCCCGCTGGCGGAAAGAAGGAGGAGGCCAGTGAGCAGCCCAAGGAGCCTGCGTCCAAGGACCAGGAGACTTCGTCGCAACCCGAGGGCCAGCAAGAGCAGTCTCAGCCAGAAGCGCCAAAGGAGGAGTCGAAACCAGAGCCTCCCAAGCAGGAAGAGAAGCCCCAGCCGCCCAAGCAAGAATCCAAGCCTGCACCTCCCAAGAAGGATTCCAAGCCCGAGGAGACCAAGCCGGCTACACCTGGCAGCCGTGAGGAGCGCCGCGTATGTAACCTTACTGTATGCTCAAATATTGTGTACTCACAGCCTTGCAGGTCAAGATGAACCGCATGCGCCTCCGCATCGCCGAGCGCTTGAAGCAGTCGCAAAACACCGCCGCCTCCCTGACCACCTTCAACGAGGTCGACATGTCCTCCATCATGGAGTTCCGCAAGCTCTACAAGGATGAGATTCTCAAGAACAAGGGCGTCAAGCTCGGTTTCATGTCCGCCTTCTCGCGCGCCTGCATTCTCGCCGCACGCGACGTACCCGCTGTCAACGCCTCCATTGAGGGTCCTGACGGTGGCGACACCATCGTCTACCGCGACTACGTCGACATCTCCGTTGCCGTCGCTACCGAGAAGGGTCTCGTCACTCCCGTCGTCCGAAACGCTGAGAGCCTGGACATGGTCGGCATCGAGAAGGCCATTGCCGACCTCGGCAAGAAGGCGCGCGACAACAAGCTCACCATTGAGGACATGGCTGGCGGTACCTTCACCATCTCCAACGGCGGTGTCTTTGGCAGTCTGATGGGAACTCCCATTATCAACCTCCCCCAGACCGCCGTTCTCGGTCTGCACGCCATCAAGGAGAAGCCGGTCGCTATCAACGGAAAGGTCGAGATCAGGCCGATGATGTACCTTGCGCTCACATACGACCACCGACTGCTCGACGGAAGGGAAGCTGTCACTTTCCTCGTCAAGGTCAAGGAGTACATTGAGGACCCCAGGAAGATGCTCTTGTAAGCTTTGATGCTGTAATCGTGTCTTTGTGTATATGTAGGATGGCAGGTTTTTGCGCGAAAGCGCGGGAACTAGTAGCGGGGCAGAGAGAGGTGTGATTGAATGGATCAACGAGATATTTT